AATCTGAAATTGGTAGCATGAATCGTACATTTAAAATCCATCCATGATCTGTAGAGAACATTTTTTAGAGATGCTTTGAACATTTTAAATGACGGGGCAAAGGTGGTGTAGTCGCAAATGATGTCACGTACCATAGGGTCTGGGAAAAAGTCGGAACGATTCCCGTCCACGTAAAACAAACCTTCTCTAGGGGTGACAGATTGCTAGCGTTCACGTACAGGCGGGTAAAAACACTTACTCGTGCACTGGCTGTTCCCTGCCTGCCGTTGTATAGGCCAAAAAGTTTTAAAAGCACTACGATTATGAATGGAAGTGGGATGCGAGGTGCATCTCAAATGGGGCTCATACTCACCAAAAGGTTTCCTCTTCTACTAGTATGCTACTATCCCTCAAAGCGAGAGGGAGCGTGAAGAGGCGTGGACCGGTTTTGAATGATTGGAAGCCAGGGCGCCCTTTCTCACCAATTGATGCCAACCTAAGCCCGCTACACCTTGGTGGGTAAGGCTGCCCGGCTGCACTCCAAACCACGCTCGCTCTCACGCCCTTTCGTTCGTAGGTGTAATTACTGTTCATAACGCCTGAATCGTGGACTTCGAAAGGTGCTGATGAACCACGTGGACACGAGCTGCGGCAGAAGAGGGGTGACACGTTCCAAAAATGAAGTCTAGCGGTTGCAGGGAGAGCACTGATCTCCGAATCGTTTGAGCATTGAGGAAATTTTCCAAAATATTATACGAAATACCGTCTAAATACTGCAAGAACGATGGCAGTAATTAGCATGATCGATAGAAGGATAATAACAAAAGTGGCATAATGCGTAGGCGAGTGAAAGCCATCTGGGTGATCCTCATCGTTGGGTTCTGAAAATGAAGTCATCAAATCAAGTTCAGTCGAGAAAAGCCAGATATTGTGCGATTGTTTCGGTGCCTGGCGGAACAGCGAAAAAAACCGGTGGTACCCACTGTCGTTTTCGCTTCAGACGCTGGGTTGGCGCCAGCTCCATTCTCCATCAATTGTTGAAGCGAGGCAAAAGACAATTGGCGGGTTCGCACGAATCCCAGCCCCCACGCCTCAGCGATGACGACTATACCCATTTTTCCAAATCGAAGTTTTCGGGAAATTCTCCCTGTCGAATCCGTGTGGGTAACTGCGAACCTAATAGAGAATGGAAATGGTGAAGTTGCACGGGAGCTCACAGTCGGTGGGGTGTGAGCAGATCCCGCTAGAAATTCAAGGGCGATAAAGGGGAGAAGGGTTAGAACAACCGAGCCTCCCGTGGCGCGGCTCTTTTAGTTAGGAGCAGGAATGCACCAATAAGGAAGTCAAAGCGGTAGGAATCTCCGCCCATTCCTTCGCCATTGCTACTATTGCGGAATAGGACTTCTACTGAAAAGTCGTACCGGCGGAGAAAAGAAGACGATATCCATGATAGGAGACGTCATGATCCGATTTGAAAACCAATGTTAAGGTCTCGTTTGTGTTTCGAATCAAGTAAGGAAACCGTTTCTTGCCGTGAAACCTTAAAAATGGAGAAGTCATTGCAGTGTAAAGTTTTATATGCGAAGCCATAAAGTATAATCTCGTGAAAAACTCTATTTAATCGATGCGGATGATGGGGCATGTCAGGGAGGCTGGCTTTGACCCTGCGTCAGTCTTTTCTCCACCGATTGTGGAAGCTGACAAGCGAACTCGGTGGGATATGGGCTGGCGTTGCACCAAACCCACCCCCTGACAGGCCCAGCGTCCTGCTGCTGACAAGATGCAGTACCGACCCATTGTTCATATAATGTTTAGACAGATAATATTGAGATGTAAGCAAAAGGATTGGCGCAGTTTTTGGCGACGCGGTGGGGGCCTCATTTTTGCACGTTCACGTCCCACCCACACTGGTTCCGGTTTGCATACTTCACCTGATGAAACCTGTGAATTCATGTGAAGCTGAAACAGGCTCATCGAGCCACGTGATGAATCTAGTGAACTTACGCCCCAAAAAGTTTCTTGGAAACGAATATTTTTAAGGAAATGGCTCCAAAGGGCTCAAAATTCAAAGGAAAACGTACACGTCCATGTGTCTTCCAGTGATATTCGTGCCATCGAATAGCGCTAGCACATCGTTATAGGGTTCAGTGTAGAAATCAGTGATGTTCAGTACAACATGATGGCTGAAAACGATTTTTTTAAATAAAATTCTGACATATTGGCTGTTCTGAAAGGGACCCTGCATTGTACAGAAGACGATTATGCTCATTGTTCAAAAATTATTTCGAGAATGGATCAATTAACCAAGGGACAGAAGCGTCGGTTGGGAGGTCCATGTTGCGGCGATGCAGCAAATCGCTACAAGTGCACTCACTCGTAGCGATGCCTCAGATCCTGGTGCGAATGAATGGAAGTGCTGAACTGTATCGAGCGGGTGTGAAAAGAGAACCGTAATTCGACCGCGCTGATGGGCGTCGCGTGCGACGTCGCGCCCGCAAATGACGATGGTTCCAGGTAGTAGATGGCGACAACAGGCAATTCAGAACCGAAAATAGTCATGAATGTCACGATGACGGGGTCTACATGAAGTGCGGTGCTCTAGTCGACAGATTAACGCCACGAGTTAAAAACGCCACGCCCATTGCCGCACGCGGTAGGGCGACAATCAACGATTCTTTTGCCCGTCTCCCGTATCGAGCAAATAGCGTGGCAAATTACTGCCTTGTTTGTCGCGGCAGCCCCTGCAAGCGACATTTAGGGAAAGGTTCGTTCCCGAACAAGTTTTACTTCAATGGGGAGCATTTCAAGTTAGGGCAAAGTATTAGACAGAGAGTCTTTGTGGCTCTCCAGTAGTCTTTATCTTGGTATTTAGTCCCCTTCAAGCAGACCAAACACTTAATTCACTGCTAGAAGGACTAGTAGGTGCCTCACACAGATCACTTTGTTATAGAAATGATGTCCCGCCCACGCATGTTCTTAATCTGTTTGACGCCCGACTTCCCATTTAGGAACCATGACTGCATTCGGATGGATAACTGATGACTGATCAGCGTATTGATTACAGGAAAAGATACCCTTCGGGAGCAATGATTCTCGTGACACACAGCATGTCATTACAGTACGATAGCGGATAATCTGGCGACGTCAGCTCCGTCCACTCGCCAACAACTGCACCCTTTTCCGAACCGTTGTTACAGGAACAACCTGAAAGTGAAAAACGTGGAACTTCTAGCCTTTTTCACGGTGGAACAAATATAAAATTTGGTGCAGTCCGGCTTTATGGGGTAGCAAATGGCACTCAGCAGAACTTGCATAGACCACCTCGTGACCTGTAGATTCCTGTAAGCACAGCGACTGACTTGTACCATTTCGCAGCTTCACAAGAGCTTACAGGAACTTTCCATCAGCAGGAATAAAAAAAACGAACTAGCGAAAGTGCAATATGCCCCCTCCAAGCCGAACAGCGCCTGAAAGTCTGACCTTCATTCGGCATCCAACTAACGACGAATGATGTCATTGCGGATGGTAACGACGAGTTCGCTTGTACAGCTCGCTCGTATAGAATTGTGACCGGTGGAGAGTTTCCAAGCATTTCCCATTGTCTTCTTGAGAGTTTTCCCAGAGATAGTCGAAAATCTGGAAATATTAGACATTGCCTATCATAAGGGAAAGGGCAGCAATAGTTTGAACAACCATCTATCTTTTTAACTGAGTATCTGGGGTACCTGACAAGAGAATCGTAATTCGCCGCGCGATGGGCGTCGCGTGCGACGTCGCGCCCGCAATGACGATGTTCCAGGTCGTAGATGGCGACAACAGGCAATGTAGAACCAAAAATAGTCATAAATGTCTACAGTTTCGTAGCCCACGTGAAATCCGGTGCTCCAATCGACAGGCTAACACGAATCGAGAAAACGCCGCGCCCATCGCCGCGCGCGGCGGAGCGGCAAATTACCATTCTCTTGCCCTTCCCCCGAGTATCTGGCTAGTTATTTCTTTACCTATTTGCTTATTCAATTAGTTTCAACTGTGTTCTAAATTCTCACTTACTGTCGCACATCATTCCCGGCGGCTACTGTAAGCATGTCGAATTCTGATGTGAAATTGAACAAAGCAGCAAATTTCTAAAAAATCCGACGAATTGAAGGGAGTCATCAGACCAGAAAGGCAATAATAAAATTACCAAAGTATACAATAATGTTGGGATGCTCCATTTACAGTAGACGACCGTGCAGTACTCTGGGATGTCCATTCTGACACTTCCTTTGGAGAGCATTGTCTTTACTCCTTTGTGAGGGCAAAGGCAGTCTGAACACCAGAAATACTTTCGCTACCTCGGAACCACAGCATCTACGGAAAGGGCTAAAAGCTTAACTAGACACCTGTTTTTTTAAAGAGAAAAAAGTTTATGTACTTTCCATATCTCGGATATGAGTAAGGCGCGTCTTCGTACTTCATTTGCACGTGGCGACGACTGCGTTTTTGGTAATTTTGCCGTTCTAGCACATCCTTTGCACTTCAAGACAGGATAAGAACTATCTCAAACGAAAATGTTCTGAAAAAAGCATCCTACCTCGTAATGGGGGTACATGCGCGCTTGAGTGGCGCCGGTAGCTAAGGAGGTCTCTCTAGAACTTAGACTGGTCCGGCCGTCCATTAATTACTCTCTTTTCCAGGTCCTTCCCGATAGACAGAACCATTCCGCAGGATGAAATCAACCGCCGATACAATCAAAACTTTCACTGCTCCACGAGCCCAGCCACCAATGCTGTGATTTTTAAAAATTATTAGCGTAAGATGCTGAGTTCCTCCAATTCCATCTTTACGAAAGGACTGAAATTGTGAAATGGCCACTGGCATCGTTTAAAGATTGTGTCTCATACGGGCCTAGGAAGCCATCCGTTCTCTTGGGGCAAATTCGTGCCGAAATTGTCTGGGAGTGTAACAGCCCCCACTTGAACATGGGCTGGTAATACCACATGGGTTCAATCGTACCCAGAGCGTCTATTTGCTCTCGATAGAAACAGATGCGTGGCGCATACTGAAAAAGGATTGGGCAACCTCAAAAAATATTTCTGGGTTTGCTGCAATGCTTGGGGTATATCAGAAGTGTCACGATTGAAATGGTGCACTGCATCTTTTTTGCAAGGGGCCAGCTGCACGCTCGATCGTAGATCATATGAGAATGGCGCTGAACTGGTCCTGCCATGGAGTCACTCATAACTCTTTTGGGGTTTGGGGTTGTTTCTGCTGCAGTTGGGCAATCGCCTATAGAGATGCCTTCTTCAATGTTCCTGGACGTTTTGTAGACTATGTAGCCCAGTAGGTTGAGATCAGAAAATGTCCCAACGCCCTGGTGACCTGACATTCTTGTTCGCGACAGCTGAGCATTTTCGTTCGATATTGATTCCGCGAGCTCGTTGCCTTATTTGATTTCAACACGAGTCGTATTGCTGGCCAAATTTTCAAAATCGTTCAATTTTTTTTCTTTTTCACTCACAGAAGTGAGCTGCAATCTTTCAGCGATTCGTTAATTCACTCTTCATTGACAGTAGGTAACTGGTAATTTTACTTCCCTGTAATCCCAGGCCTAATAGAAGTATGGGACCTTCGTGTATATGTTACAGACAATATTTACGAGTTAACGAACGCTTATTTTATTGGGGGAGAGGGGAGCGGGTAGAGGGGCCGACCTCCATATCTCTTCGCTGACCAAGGTCTGGGCTTGATGGAGACCATGTTTCTTTGCCGGGCTATCACTCATCGGCCCTGATTGTCTTCGCTTTTGGGCCTTTATTACTAATGGATTAAGAGGTGCGGCTGGATGGTCCCCCGCCCTCTCCCCAAACTACGTTAGCGCTTAAAAAAATGTCAAGATTCCACGGAACAAACCTTTTATTTTTAGTTTGTTATTGTGCTGGGCTGAGCGTTTCTCATCATTTTTCCAAAGGGGCAAACGGTACCCAGAATTCAATTTAATTTGAATTCTGAGTACCGTTTGCCATTCGTTGATTTTACTAATATTCCATTACGCTGAGGCATTTTGGTACAATAAATTAAGCGTATCACGGTAATGAATACTTTAGAGCTGTATATTTTTCCATTTCTTCTTTCTGATATAGTTTTTTCTTCTGCTTCCTTCGGAAAAAAACTGATATACCAGTAGGAATACGGGTAGACTCGACGGTCATATTATAACCATGCTGTACGATTGTTTTATCCGTGACGAACTCTGTCTCCATGACGTCACCTGTCAGAACTAATCGCACATCTTCACGACTCCCGTTTAACCTGAACGTGTGCAGCTCGAGTTCATTTGTCAAAACTGTGGTGCAACTAGCGAAAGAAATTAGCGGAAGTGCAAAATGTCAGGCCGAACTGCACCAAAAAGGCATTCTGCGATAACTGGGTGGGCGGAGACTCATGAACACTCTGCCTTGCTCATTGGCGCCTCTCTTTTCTTCAAACTGGTGCATAGTAAAGACGGCGTAATGTTTACGAGTGCTGCACATTTATTGGCTCACCAGGTTTCGCGGAATGTCTTTTTGAGGGTAACTTCATCGGACAAGCTCACC